GGTTGGTATCGCAGCTGTCGCTCGCCGGCCTAGGGTTGGTCCATTCCGCATGTCTTTGCCGGTTGCCAGGTTACCTTGTCCCAGGGTTGGTGCTAAGACCTGGCAGTTTTGCATCGCTGTGTTTGTGCGTTTTCTGTGTCGCGGTAGGCTGGGGCTCTTTCTGACTCCGTTTATGTTGGGCTCCTGTGGGGTCAGTTCCTAGCTGCCAAGAGCTTTATCCAAGCCCGTGCTGCTCAGCCTTATTTTCAGTGCCATGAGCTCCGTGGACTCCGTGAGCTCCGTGTATGTCTTGCTCGGTTAACCAAGAGCGCCCTGTGCTGGAGACAGCCCCTGCTGGCGGCGTTTTTATAGTAGTTGGTTGCATTTGCAGCACTCCGTGGCTCTGTCAGACTCTCTTTGTGTTGGTCTTTATTGCAGGTGCTGTGTGGATTCTTTGAACAGTTGGCCGGTGTACCTGTTGGTTCGGAGGTGGCCCGACCTTGCTGTTTGTCGTGCTGGGTTTCGTCATCCGTATCCCTGCTGTCAGCGCCCTGGGCGCGTGGAGCGGTCGTTATTGCAGAGCCGGTGTTCAGTTCAAGCCCTAGTTGGCCGTTTAGTCAACCCTCAGCGGGCACATGTTTGGCATTCTCGCGTGTCTATCGTCCATTCCTTCAGATGGCGTCCGTCAGCGTTTGTTGAGGGATCCGTCGCGTTTGTGGCCGGTGGGTCAGTCTGTGCGCGGTTGGAGAGCGCTGGTTTGACCTCGTCCTTGTGGTTTTGGCAGCGTTCTGTTTGTTTGCTCTTTTGCCTGTGTAGAGATGGCGTGTCCGCCGTCCTTGCTGCTGGAGTATCGTTTGGAGGTCGTTGAGGCGTTTTGCTTGGGGAGCTTTATTTCGTGTCGCTGTGTGTGCCTGTCTGGCAGCTCTCGCGTCCTTTGTCCCTCTAGCGGCCCGTCGCGTTGCGCTGTTTTGGTGCTCAGTTTGTTTGTTATTTCCGCTAGAGGGGGTATCTTCTCCTTTGGCATTTACCTATGGAGCAACAACTAATGCGAGCTTGCGTAAGTAAGCTGGGTTAGTTGGGCGTAAGGCCCAATGCGTAACTGTTAGACTAACTGTTTCGCA